CATTCTGCTTCATTCTATCCCTATTCTCCCACTCTGCAGAATCTGTTAGTTCAATCTCTAACGTTCTACTCGGTGCTCAGTGGTCTTACCCCCAGGGGGTTGAGGGTTCTGAGCAGCTGGGGTGAATAGGTATTCAAAGGATGACTTCCCCATCCCTCGAGCATATAAAACGAAAATGGGAAGAAGAACTAGGGCTAAACATCTCAAATAATGAATAGAGGTGGGCGGTAGAATACATTCATTCTTCATCAGTGTGTGTTAGATATGGATTAACACATTTTAAATTGGTACATAGGCTTCATTTCACCAGAGACAAACTGGCAAGAATGTTTCAGGGAGCCGATCCGACTTGCCCTAGATGTAAACAGGTGCCAGCCAACACATCCCATATGTTTTGGTCCTGCCCCAAACTCAAAGAATTCTGGATTGAAATCTTTAAAACTTTCTCATCTGTCTTCAGGAAAGATATTGAACCGGTCCCTCTGGTAGCCATTTTTGGTGTGGCACCGGGGGGGATAGAATTAACGACAGCTCAAAGGAAGGCAATGGCATTTTCTTCACTGTTGGCCAGGAGATTGATTTTATTTAATTGGGTAAAGGCAGCACCACCGACACATAAACGATGGATAGAGGAGGTAATGGCACACCTAAAGCTAGAAAATCTTCGATTTACGTCACAGGGTACCATTAAGAGATACTTCCATATTTGGCAACCTTTTATTTCCTATTTTGAATCCGAGGTTCAATCTGCTTCAGCATTTGAGACGACAGACATTTTTTTTTTTTTTTGGCGGAATTATTATTATTATGATTGTTATTCATACTAATGTTTTTGGTTTTCAATCCATGGTAATTGTCTTGTTGATAGTTTTCTTTTTTGTTTGTGATGTCGTTGTGATGTAATTATGGAGTCTTTTTGTTTTGTTTTGTTTTTTATGCCCTGGATGGGGTGTTTGTTGCTTTAATATGAAAAACTAATAAAAAAAAACAATTTGATTATTATTATTCTCCCACTCTGCAGACTCTGTTAGTTCAATCTCTAACGTTCTGCTCTCTCTGCTTTTTCTCATAGTAGCTTCATCTGGTCTGTTCCTGTTTGGCTGT